GTTGTTCTCAGATAAACCTTACCTAGACATATATTTTTTGATCTCCTATGTATAATTTGTCAGTAGATTGTAGGAGTAATATGGTTCCCGCTCTGATTTTCAAAACTAGCTAGGCATTGTTTATTTCTCGCATTGTCTCACCCCTCTGTCATGGTTTTCCTGCTCAAGGTGCCCCCATTTCCCCCCATTCTCCCTTACTAATACCTTTCTATGGTCCTACCTCTCTTGAGCTTCTTTCCCTTTGTCCCCCAGGTTCCTAATATACTCTTCCCTCCCCCCTCCCTTAAACTAACCCAGTTTTTATCCATATCTCCCCTATTACGGCCTGTTTCCTACTGTTCTTCTCTTTCAGGTTCTTTCTTTTCCTTTACCTCCCTGTTTCCTTTCCATTATCCTGGTTCCTGTAGTTATATCTGGTTACATACTCATTTATCAGAATCTGGTTCTATGATCCACATATGAGGGAGAACATATGTCGGTTTTTTTTTTCCTGTGTCTATGTTACTTCACTAGTATAACAGTTTCTAGTTCCATCCACTTACCTGCAAATTTCATGATTTCATCTTTCTTTACTCCTGAGTAAAACTCCATCATATAATGAACCACATTTTGAAAAATAGGTTGCTTCCATCTCTTAGCTATTGTGAAAAGAGCAGCAACAAACATGGATGTACAAGTGTCTCTGCAATAGGATGAGTTCTTTGGGTATATGCCAAGAAGTGGTATAACTGGGTCGAATGGTAGGTTCATTTGTAGTTTTTAAAGAGTTCTCTATACTGCATTCCATAGGGGTTGAACAAATTTACAGCCCCACCAGCAGTGGATGAGTGTTCCCCTTTCCGCACATCCTCTCCAACGTTTGGTATCATTAGATGTCTTGATCTTAGCCAGTCTGACTGGGGTAAAATGAAATTTAAAGTGGTTTTAATTTGCATTTCCCTAATTACTAGTGATGTTGAACATCTTTTAAGATGTTTCATAGCCATCTTTACTTCTTCTTTTGAACCTCTCTCTTCAGCTCCTTAGCCCGTCATTTAATTGGGTTACTTCTTGTCTTGATTCTCTGTTTTTTGAGTTTGTTATATATTCTGGATATTAAACCTCTGTCGGATGTCGCTGGTGAAGATTTTCTCCCATTCTGTGAGTTTTCTGTTCGCTTCCCTGGTTGTCTCCTTTGATGTACAGAAGCTTTTTAGTTTAATGAGGTCCCCTTTCTTAATTCTTGCCCTTGTTTCCTGAGCGATTGATGTCCGGTTTAGAAAATCCTTTCCTACGCCTATATTATGTTACCAAGGCTGGCTTCAAATTCACTGTGTAGATGAGGATGACCTTGAACCTTGGTCTTCCTGGCTCTACCTTCCTTGTGTTGGGATTACAGATGTGTGCCACCCTGCCCAGCTTTGCTGTGGGTTTTACTGTTTTATTATTTATTTATTTATTTATTTATTTATGTGTGTCTGTGTGTGTGTTTATGTGTGTTTATATGTGTTTGTGTAGACTAGAGGACAACTTTAATGGAGTCAGTTTAGTTCTCTCCTTTTACCTTTATGTGGGTTCTGGAGATCAAATGCAAGTTGTCAGGCTCTGGTGGCAAGCACCTTTCCACACTGAGCCATCTCTCCTGCCCCTGTTGTTGTTGGCTTTGAAACAACAGCCCAGCCAGACTTGGCAGTCCTCTTGCTTCAGTCTCCTAAATTCTGGGCTTATAGGCAGGGACCATCACACAACAGGAGAATGTTACTCTCTCTGTTTTGGAGGAGTCCCCCTGCCTGGTCTCCATTCCTGGGATACTGGCATTATCATGCCTGCCTAGAATGTTTTTTGAAGGAAGTTTTGTGTTCTCCATCAGTGTATTAATGTTTTTAAAGATATTTTATTTATTGTTTTTATTTTCATGTGTATGAGTGTATTGCCTCCATGTATGTAAATGCACTCTTGGCATGCAAGGCCTGTAGAGGTCAGAAGAAGGTGTTGGATCCCCCTGGAACTGGAGTTATGGATAGCTGTGAGCCACCATGTGGTTGCTGGCAATCGAACCTGGATCCTCTGCAAGAGCAGCCAGTGCTCTTAACTCCTGTGCTATCTCTCCAGCCCCTGTTTGTTTTCTCCATCAGTGTATTAATGTTTTGTTCCAAAATAAGTTTGTATTTTGGTTGTTTACAGCTTGAAGAATCTTTTTTCATGGACACAAGAATGTGGATATCATGTTTATATTTGCATCAGATATTTGTTATGAACCAAAACAACATAGAATTGAATCACTACTTGTATAATTTATATGATTCAGAACTACTTCTCTCCAAATTTAGATTTAATGTATGGTTATTATGAAAAATTGAAAAAGTAGTACAGCAGTAGCCAAAGCTTTCTCATCACCTGAGTAGAGTGTTCTTACAGTTTAATTGTCCTGCCCTCAGCCTCTTTTTGTGCATTACAAATAATGGTAAATAGTCTGCTATGGATGGTGCAGAGGATATTACAGGA